CGGCTTGGCTGGCCACTTGACAAAAGGCTCATCTTTTATTTCGCTCAGAATCCGATATATTGGTTTTTTGAACACCGTTGTTATGGCAGTGCGGATTCTCAACCATCTTTTGTCTGGGTCTTCTCCGTTATCTCGTCTGCCACGTCCGTTCTTGTTACTTCGGTCAACCGTGTTGACCTTGGCAGGGGTTTTCTTTTCCGGTGCTGCGGTCGTGCTTGATCTTGCTTTAGCACGCGCGCCATCCTCGAGGGGTCTGCTTCTATACCTCGGTTGGTCACCAGGAAGCCCAGGAATTTGCCAGATCCAACTCCGAATGCACATTTGGACGCATTGAGGCGCAACTTGTGTTTCTTCAGGATCTGGAACATCTCGCCTAGGTCTTTCAGATGGTCATTCTCGTCCTTGCTTTTGACCACCATGTCGTCGATGTACGCCTCCATTGTTCTGCCTAACAAAGGTTCAAACATTTTGGTGACCATCCTTTGGAATGTCGCCCCTGCGTTCTTTAGGCCAAAGGGCATGACCTTGTAGCAATATAGCCCCCTTGGTGTTGTGAAGGATGTGACCTCCTGGTCTGGTTCATGCATGGCGATCTGGTGGTAGCCCCTGTATGCATCCAGAAAGCTGAGTCAGTTATGCCCTGCCGTTAGGTCCACCAGTTGATCTATCCTTGGTAGAGGAAAGCTATCTTTAGGGCACGCCTTGTTGACTGTTTTGTAGTCGACGCAGACACGCCATTTACCATTCTTCTTTGGCACTACAACTGTGTTGGAGATCCATCTTAGGTAGTGCACTTCTCTTATTGCCCCTGCCTCCAGCAGGTTGCCTACTTCCTCCGCCATTATTTCGGCGTGGTGGAGTGCCGATCTGCGTGTGCGTTGGATGACTGGTCTGGCGGATGGGTGGACATTGAGTTGGTGACTGATGAAGTTTGGGTCAATACCCGGCATGTCGTAGGGTGTCCAGGCAAACACTTCGATAGTAGAGGTCAAGAATTCCAAGACCTCTAATCTCTTAGTGCTGGACAATGATGAGCCAAGCAAGAAGAACTTATCTGGGTTCTTCTCATCTATTTTTACCTCCACCAAGTCCTCCACCGCTTTCTGATTAGCCTCTTTGTCGACGTCCGCGAATAGTTCATTACTTTCTGGTTCTTCCACCGAATGAACGTATTCTTTGGCAGCTCGGCTTCCATTTGCTGTGGCGAAGCACTGTTTTGACATGATCTGATCGCCATAGACTTCTTCAATTATGCCGGTGTCGTTGGGGAACCGCATTACCTGATGGTATGATGACGCTACCGAACGCATGGCATGCAGCCATGTTCTGCCCAAGATGAAGTTGTATGTGGAGGGGACCTTCAATACCCAGAACTCCACTTGTTTTGTTACACTCCCTACTCTGACTGGAAGGATTATTTTGCCGACAGGCCACTTTGGCATGGAGTTGAATCCAATCAGGGGAGAAACTGCAGGCACCAAGTCTTTGTCTTGCAGCTTCAGTTGCTTGAATGTGTCGTAGTACATGATCTCACATGAACTACCTTGGTCGATCATAATCCGCTTGACGTCAAAATCTTTGACTCGGAGAGTGACAACCAGAGCATCATTGTGAGGATAATATATTCGATCCAGGTCTTTATCCGAAAAAGACATGACGTTTGTTGCCTCCGTCCTCCCTTTCTTGGTGGTAGGTTGGGCACCTAGCACTTCTCTAAAGTGCTCAGCCTTTTTGATTGAC